TAATCTGTACAATCAGGCATCCATATGGCTGGTGTAGAGTGATTGCTCAATAAATGATAGCAGATAAGAGAATTGTTTGGGGTTATGTGCCCAAATTCCTCTTTCTCGACCTCTGATTAATAACCCTGCTGCATTGAAAACACACACACACACAGCAGAATCTTCAAGAATGAGTCTGGGCATTATTAGTTTCTTAAATTTCCTAGATGATTATAATATGTAGCCAGGTTGAAAATCATTGCTACAGACTCTTCAGTTCCACTTTTGGCTTTCCTAGACTACGAGTCACCTTTCTCCAGGCCTGGAAGAGAAATCCAAAATTTCCCATTTCCTCCCATTCTATTATAAGCTTATTGTTTTAACTCTCTCTGTCTTGCTCTTGCCCATCTAGGAAGTGCCCAGAGGGGCTTGGCTTTCTCACCATCAAAATATTCTTCTAGGTGAATATTCTATGGCCATAAAAATCAGGAGATTACATTTAGTTATTGTTTTTAAATGACCTTTTTTTTTCACAATAGAAATATTAGAGTTGTCTCCAAATTGGGTTATAGTATAAGTCACTGTATGTGTCCTTCCAGAGTGGAGCTCAAGGATTCAACCATAGGACACAAGAAGCTGAAAGCCACTAGAGCAAAACATGGCAATATGTTCAGAGTTCTTATAAAATATTCCTGCAGATCTTAAGGGGGTTTCATCCTTGTCTCCGTGCTAGAATCACCTGATGAGCTTTAAAACTCTGCCCCAAGCTGAGGGCCACCCCCAGAGATTCTAATTTCACGGGTCTGGGTGCCAGATGACCCCAGTGAGTAGCCACTGACTTCTGTGGTCTGCTTTTATCACTCTACTTTCCTCTCCTACCCCCAATCACTGAGTTATTTCTGTTTCCCAAACTGTCTCATTAAAAGAATTACCTATGCTTCTTAAAAATAGATTCCTGAGCCCCACTCCACGTTTACTGAATCAGATCTTCTTGCAAAATTTTTTGACAGATTCTTAGGTGAGTCTAACAGGCAAATGTGAGAAACATTACTTTAATCAAGTTATTTATTTTCCTTTATAAAATTTTAAAAATTGTACATATTTATGGAGAATAGGAAGATGCTGTTTAATCATCAAATCAGAATAATTAGTGTTTCCATCTCCTTAAGGCTTTATAATTTTGTTGGGAACCTTCACACTCCTGTATTCTAGTTCTTTATGAAATATACACTAAATCATTGCAAATTATAGTCACCCTCCTGTGCTGTACACACTAGAACTTATTTCTCTTATCTGTTTTTCACTATTTCCCAATCCCTCTCTATTTCTTCTTCCCCTACCCTTCCTATTCTCCAGTGACCACTATTCTATTTTCTAGTTCTATGAAATCAATAATACAAGTCAATTCATTTTCAGTTAAGATTAATTTATTTATTTAATAAATAATGAGTACAATGTGTGCCCTATATTATTTTAGGTGCTAGGACTACAGCAGAGAACAAGACAAAGTTCATGTTGAACTTTCATTATATCCTCATGTTGAGGATATAATGTCTAGGAGAAAACAAGAAATTTAATTTCAGATTGTGCAAGTACTGAATGACACTTATGAATAACAAATATAGTTTTACAGATATTAATAGGCTTTTGCTAGTCCAGACCAAAAATGATTCAGTACACCCCAGCCTACCACATGTGCTGGTGATATTTACAACTAAAGAAATGGAAGTGACATACAGAAAACAAAAGTGAGGTACAGCTAGATTGGTCACAAACTTGGCATTGGCCTTATTTGAACAAGGTTCAACAGCTGGCTGCCTATGATTGACTGAAACTCAGCTGCTGTGATTGGCTGACACTCAGCTTTCCATTACAAAGGCAAATTCCCAGTTTGTTTACATACTTACTTAAGTTGCAGTTATTTTTTTACCTAAGGACTCAATTCACGGAGGCCTCTTCAGGCCAAGCTTACTTTGATCTACTGTGTCATCAAGACTGTACAACATGGGCTGGAGATATAGTGTAGTGGTAGAGCACTTGCCTAAGAAGTGTGAGGCCTTTTGATCCCCAGCACAGCAAACAAACAAATAAACAAACAAACAAAACCCTATGGCAAAATAAGCCCCAAAAGTGATGGGTACGGGGGTTATTTTTAAAAGGGTAGCCAGGGAGGTCTAGTTCTGAGAAGCTGCATCTGAACGGAGAACTGGGTGATTTAAAAAAAAAAAGAAAGAAAAAAATTGCTTACAAATTCCATTGCAACCATACTTATATAATTTTATTCTATATGGCTCATGTCTCCTAAATTAGATGGGATTTTCTTAAGGTCAGGGTCTGTCTTATATTTTTGTATTCTCCCATAGCAACCAGTGTAGTGCTTTGCACAAGCAAGAACTCAGTGACTCATACTAAAACACATTTCAACCTTAAATATAAGCATCTCTAAAGACTGGGCCAACAAAGGATCCAGCAAGTTACCTGCTTGCTAAGAAAAAGAAAATCCAGGAAAACAATGAGATACTCAGCCCCAAGGCTAGACTTTCTACTTGCCTCCAGTTATAGCAGATTCTTATCAGAAAGTCTTCAAGATATGCCAAGACTGGTCATCTGGAGAGTGACTCCATTCTGGTGAGATCAGGCACTGAACTCAGTACCAATTTCTGCTGGCTTACCATCCTGTGATGTAATTTCCTTTCTTTTGTCTTCCCCTACTTCTTACCAATGTCTTTGTGGGCCTTCACCCCTATTTCTTAAAGGTAATCACCCCTATTTCTTAAAAGTTCTGCAGAAGGCCACTGGATCCTATGAAATCTCTTAAGGATAAAAGAAGAGTCTTCAATATACTGAAAAATTCTCAGAAGGTTTGGTGAAACCAGTTCAGGTCATCTAGGGAAGGTTTTTTACATTTCCAGTTGGGGACTCCTCTATCACTTTTAGGGAGGCTTTCCATTTCTTATAGCAATCCCTTTTCTTCGAATGCTTTCTCTGCATTAAAAACATTTTACAATCAGAACTGGAAGGCCCACCCAGAAGATAACATCATGGTAGGGGAAATTCCTGAACAAGGAATATCCAGAGCAGTGTGTTTCAAACTAGCTGTACAACTGATTTGTTCTCTGATCTGGACAAGTTACATGATCCCTTTGAGCTTTTGGATCCATGATTATAAGATATGATGTTCCTTTCTCTGATAATATTAAAGTTACCAAAAGGAGAGAGCACTTTATTTTCTACTTTTTGTGGTTTTGGGGATCCAGCCCAGGGCCACACACATGCTGTGCAAGTGCTCTACCACTAAGCTACACTCTCAGTCCTGAGGGAACTTTAAAGCATGCTGATTACTTTATAGCATAATATTATCACATAAAAGTAATTCATCATGCTCTCGTGCTTGGTATGGTAGATATTTACATTCCTTTGGCCTCTCATTTCGGCATGAAACTTCAGAAGTAAGATTCTGCCAGACGCACATTCCCCCTTAGAGCGGTGCTTTTAATAGCCCTTCTTGCTTATCTTTGCTTTTCTTACTTTCTCCCCCTTCCCCTTTACTTTTCTTACTTTCTCCCCCTTCCCCCTGTACTTTGCTCACCCCCACCTTAGAGAAGTCCCCTAGTGGCATCCCCAGTGACTGTTCTGTTGGCTGAATTCCTCAAGCACTGCTGCCTTTTGGCCCATAGATTGTCATTTGGCCTCAGTCCATTGGCTCTAAGCATCTTCTGAGTTATTTATGTTCTGAACAAGGCCTACCTCTGCAACTGGAGTTTCCTTGAAGGCAGGGGTTGTGATTTATACCTCTTTGCATCCTCAGTTCAGGCAATGTATTTTCATTAACCATGACTTTTAAGGTTGATAACGTATTAGTGTTCCCCCAAAATTCACATCTACCTGGAGCCTGCTAATGTGATTTTACTGCAGATATGATCAAGTTAAGATGAGGTCATGTTTAGGATGGGCCCTAAATCCAATGACTGGTATCCTTAAAGAAGAGAGAAATTTGGGGGCTGGGGCCGTAGCTCAGTGGTAGAGCACTCGCCTGGCATGTGTGGGACTCCAAGTTCAATCCTCAGCACCACATAAAAATAAAATAGTAAAATAAAGATGTTGTGCCCAACTATAAAAAAAAATAAAAAGGAGAGAAATTTGTAGACGGAGAAATTCAGGAAAGAAGGCCATGGAACAGATCTGGAGTGATACTGCTGCAAGCCAAGGACTGTCAAGGATTGCAGGGAGCCAGGAAGAGGCAGAGGGGGGTTCTCCACTAGAGCCTTCAGAGGAGTCACAGCCTGCCAACAAATAAATTTCTGTTTAAATTTATTTTAATTTAAATTTAATTTATTTAATTTAAATTAAATAAATTTTTGTTTAGTCGCCTGATTTGTGGTAATTTGTTAGTGTAGTTCTAGGAAAGTAGTATAGGAATGCTGAGTACAGCAAACCTGCTTCAAGCATGGCAGACGCACAATTCAGCTTTTGGTGACCTACTTTCAGAAGCCCTGAGGAAGAGGTTGGGCCAAGGTTTCTAGGGAAGGAGGGGAGTAATTGAAGGCAATGAATGGAGAGGAGAGGAAAAGAGCTGGGTATGGTCTGTGTTTGAAACAATCCAAAATGAAGTACATGAACTCTAAGTTGAAGATGTTTTTAAGGTCCCATCACAGAAGTGGTTTACTCTAAGACAAATAGTTGATCTGAGAATTGAAGGTAGGAGAGAAATTAAGTGAATAGCTGTTCACTTTGTGATAATTTAAAATAATAAAACTGACCTACTTGGGAGGCAGTATGTGTGTGTTTCCTAGAATGCCTTGCTTGAGATAATTGAAGCTGATGATCCTTTCCAACCCTGGAGGCCTGGGTTCCCCCTCTATGGTTAAGAACAGGATTACCATTCAGACCACCTCAGTTCTGAGTTCTGGCTCTGTCACTTACTGGCAAGTTATTTCATCCCACTTGCCTCCATCTCTTCATTTGTAAAATCAGAATAAAAATAGCACATATACCCCATATAAAGCTTGAGATTGAAAGATTTAATCTGCATAAGTGGCTGCAAACAGCACACAGGATGGATAAATAGAAGCTTTGGTGGTTAGCAGCGGCGGCGGCGGCGGCGGCGGCGGCGGGGCGGGGGCATCACCATCCTGTGCAGAGGAAGGAGACTCAGGAAAGGTAAATCATGTGAACTTTAATCGCTCCGCCAGAAAGAAAAGATCCCACTAGGAAAGAGAGGAGAGCTGGCTGTTTGCTTCAAAGCCTGCAAAATGGGTATAAAAACACTTGCACCCTGAGCAGGGTAACGTTTTTATCAGTCTCTGTTGATATGGGCAGACTCCAGGTACTGGGAGTAAAGGTTGGAATCCTACTTGAGGCTCTCTCTTTGGGAGTCGCTGGGTCCTGGGTCCTGGGTCCTGGGTCCTGGGTCCTGGGTCCTAGGTTCTGTCTGGCTCCCTACCAACAAGCCAGTATACTGCCGGCTTTCAGTCAATAACAAATGATGGAGAAAGAAATAAGCCAACTGGGATGGTCTAGCTTGCTGCGAGAGATTCCTTAAGCGCAGGAACAGCAAACACAACTAGCGCTTAACTTTACAGTTAGCATACTTGCAAAAACCCGCTACGAAGGACCCCTGAGACAGATCCTGCCAATTGGTTTAGTAGGGGTGTGCCTTCTTTAATGCAATTATTTAGTGAGCGGGAGTGGGGGCGGATATCGCGCCCTGAGGACTCGCCACCCTCAACCCGGCTTGAGGATAGAGGAAGTCTATTGGGCATGTAGGCACTGATTGAAAAACAACTTTGTAGCTTATTTATTGAGCAAAAGGCTCCACCTTCCCACGCTGCCGATAATACTCTGCCAGGCTGCGTAGGACATTCCTAGTCTTACCCATGAGAACAACGCGCCTACTGCCGCGGCTGGATGATTCCTGCAGTGCCCGGAGCCTCCCGGAGCCTGGCGTTCGCGGGGGAGCCGAGAGTCGCAGATGTGAGTCTGCTTTGTCACCGCCCTCTGAGCGACTTTGGGCAAGTCGCTTAGCTTTCCTGATCTCGGATTTCTTGTCTGCTTAATGCAGGGAAGGAACCAAACCTGGATGACGCTAGGGCAGCGGCAGAGAGCCGGGTGGCTCGGCCTGGGTGCGGCGAGCGCCTGCCGGAGCGGAGCGCGCAGCGGAACTTCTGTCCCAAGCGTGGCGCGGCGCGGCGCGGCGCAGGGACCCCGGAGTGCAGGGCGGGGAACTCCCTCTGCGGGAGCGCAGCGGCGGCGCTCCTCCTTTCTCCACACGTCACGGGGACTGCTCCGCGTTCTCCCATCCCGGGCCGAGGGAAAGCAACTGCCTGGCAGGGCGTGTGGCCGAGGTGGCGACCAAGGCGGAGGTCGCGAGTGGGCCGCCCCAACTCCCACCGGGTTGGCCTCCGCAGCTGCGGGGCCCCTCATTCGGGGCTCCCTGGGTCCCTTGCGTAAGTCGACTTGGCCACGCAGGCAAGAGAGGAACGCCCGGGGTTGGGGGTATCCCGTGGTGGTAGGCGCCGTGCCCCTGTTTCAGCCGCTGGGTGGCCGGGACACCTCGACCCTCTCCTCGCGACTTTCACTTTCCCCGAGGGAAAACTTGGGCGCCAAGTCCTTCTCGGGGATGGGGGTGGGGACGTCTGCCCGGGAGGGCCTCCTCGGGATCCCGGACTGAGCCCCCACTTGGCTTAACGCCAGGAGCCAGAGGGTCCCCAAAGGAAACTGGCGGGCTCGCAGAGTCGCGGGGCAAGCGGGCGACCCCGGTGTACACTTAGACGATGCCGCAACTCCAAGGCTCCGCGCGGCACCCTAGCCCGCGGCAGGACGCTGCAAAGTTCCCTGAGGCCCGCGCTGGGAAAGGGCAGCGGACGCGACTGGGCGCGGAGTAGGTCCTAGGAGACGGCCCGCGGCCGCAGCGCGCAGAGCCGAGCCGCGGGCGCGAGGGTACCGTTTTCCCAGTTCGCCCCGAGGGGTGAGAACACGCTTGTAACCCCCGATTTGCCTTAAGCCAGGATCCCTCTGTTTCGGCCCTTGCGGAGAGAGATCCATACGCGAGGAGCGTGAAGGAGTTGCTCCTGCAGCTTCTCTAAAGCCAAGGGGATTGGGGCGGAGGGGGTTCTCTTAAGTGTTCTTTGCGGGGTAGAGCTGCGGCCCGCGCTTCCCGGGCCGGGCCCTCCGCAAGGACAAGCTTCTGGCTTTTTAAGGTCAAGTTTTCCTGCCGCAGAGCCGGCGGGGATCATCCCCCTTCTAAATGCCGGTGCCTTCCCAGCCGGCTGGGAACCTGCAGAGATCTAAGAGGAGTTGACTTTACCGTCTTTACGTGGGCGGTGCGAGTGGGTGGGTATTGTTTTGTAAATGTTAAGAGCTAAGCTTTCCGGAGTGGAGATGCTGTGGGAAACTAGAAAACATCCTTTTGCTGAGCAAACGGAGGGGTGATGTTATCCCTGGAGCACACCCCCCAACCCCTTTTTTCTTACCTTTAGAATTAAAGAGCAACAGACCAGAAGATTAAGGGAGTTGGGGATACTATTAATTCGTTTAGATCTCTCATGTGATTTGGAAGACATAGAAATCACCCTTTTTGATCTTACTTGCATAAAACATGCCCTTATCATTAAGCCATCTTTTAGCATGACATTCTAGAAACACAGTTCATTTTGGCAGCTATGGTTGATAGTGTCTTGAGGAAGAAAAATCTTTGAAAGTGAATTATTGCTAAGAACTGTTCCTATGTTGCACTTTCTAAGGATCCAATTCTGTGTGAACAATGACCAATTAAGATGTTGTTGAATTATCTTTCACTTGTATTAGGAGAGAAGGAATAGCCAAAGAATGGGATTGTGTGGCACCGAATTTTCACTCAGGAAAACTACAAGGAGAGTGTCCTTGAGAGAGAAGTTTTTTACTCTTTTCTTTGGAAAGCAAGGTATATAGTGGTTTGCTAAATGTCACATCCGCACCGAGATAGATAGGGGTGAATGACATAATTGGGCAGTAAGTCAGAGGTGGTGCTGGATGGCTGAGGGGAGAGTGGTGAGAGAACCGGATGAAGCCAGGAGAGACCAGGCTGGCATCCGGTAGGGGTGGGGGTGGATGGTGGGTGGAGTCTTAGGACAGTTTCCCGTCTGAAAGTGTTCTAAAGAGATGTGAATTCAGAACCCAACTCTGCTGCATGAGGAATGTATTTGAGGAACCCCTAAATAAACAGGGCTGAGTTAGGGTCTGAAAGGGTGAGGTGGAGGCAGGGATGACATAGTGACTAGACTCAAGACCAATTCTGAAATGATTTGGAAACAATTTTATGGAAGGTGTGAGTGTGGGGAGACTCCCTCTAAGCTTGGGTGCTGTTGTTTTCAGAAGCAGGGGGCACTGTTGGAGGAGCAGGTGCCAGGAGAAAAGCCAAGCGTGGTTTTGTTGGGTCTGAGCAGCTTTTCAAGGTTCCTGAATAGCAATGCTTCTCAAGAGGCAGGATGGAGCTGGCCCTGGCTGACTCTCCAAAACTGGTTGTCACCTGTGTCAGGAGTGGTGTTTGAAGCCTGGGGTGGGCAAGAGGGATGCTGACTGAGGACTGGCAGCTGCTCCCAGAGAGGTGAGACAGAGGGATGGCTTTTTTAAGATGAAGGAAACATACACATATTTAAATGTGAATGGGCTGTAGCAAGTTGGAAGAAGTTGAACATACAGACTATCTGGAACCCTTGCCCCTTGAAGTATTAGGTAAAAAGCAATTTGATTGGGATGATATTTTAATATCAAGCTCACATAACATAAAGTGTCAGTGTCTTACAACATATGAAATATGTTTGAGCAATTTGAATTTTTACCTTCTAGATCATGCAGATTTAATGTTTAAGGGAAACACAGATGGTGTTCACACAACAGAGCTGCAGCATGGGTAGGAGCAAGGCCCCTGGAGCCAGACTTGGCCCTGTCACTCCATAGCTTGTAACCTGGCATAAGTTTCTTGGCCTGTCTGTCTCAGCTTCCAGGTCTCTGAAGTGGCAGACTTGTAAGGACCCCTGAGAGGTATATGCTGTGTACCTCCTTGTGGACAGATAAAAATTGCATAGGTGCCTCATCCATGCACAATATGTGCATCATGCCTGGCACATAGCAAGGTTTCAGTAAGCCCTGGTGCTACTGGCTTCGTTATGATGATGTCATTTCTGTGATGTCATATCTATCATTTCTAGACATAAAATTTCAGACCTGGAGAATTTTGAAACTTGGCCAAGACCATAGAGTCAAGAGTAGCAAGTTAAGACCAGGATCTCTTTGGCCTGACTCACAGGCAGGGGCACCTTCCACCTAGCGTGTCAACAAGTGCCAGGTACTGGATCTGGTTCAAGATCAACTATAATAGGAGGATCCAGTCACTGCTCGCCAGAGTGCAGTGGAGCAAAGCAGACATCAGTGGCAACACTTACAGACTACCCAAGCAATTTAGAAATGTGTGTTTGGTATTAATTTGCATTGCTTTGCATGTCATCTTACATATGCATTTCCATATGCTGGTAAATTTCCCCAGTAGGAGCAAAGGCTGAAGTTTCAAGTATAGGAGAGAAAATAAAATTAACCATGAATCAAATGCAGCTGTTTCACTCTTAATAGCCTCCTGGGAATGGTGGGCTTGGTGCTTTTAGGAAAAGTATTGGATCTGTGTTTACTGTTTTAGAAGATAGGGGAAGCCAGATATCATTTGATAAAAGCAGGTATATCTTAACATGTTGGGGAGCTTGATCTTCCAAACAAAACAGAAAAATACAAGAAAAGTAAAAGATGACCAGAGAAAACTTTCATATAAAAATGCCAGAAAATGAAGCAGAAGCAGAAAAAGAAGGCTTTATGAAGCCAAACTAATAAGAAACACTAAGGATCAGCAGGTAATGGTTGAATTTCTGCTAAGCAGTATGAAAGTTTAGAACATAACTACAAGTATTTGAGCCTTTAAAACCAATCAATTCTCCCTTATTTGGACTTATTGGGAAATGGGCCATTGTATCTTAGTAAAATCTCATGAATGCAGAATATCCATAACCAAAGAAACAAAGTACGATTCTCTTACTTAGAGCAATGGTTCTTAAAGTGTGGTCCCTGGGCCAGCTAGCTGCAAAGTAGCACCTGAGGACTTATTAGAAATGTAGGTTCTGACCACTCAAATCTGCTGAAAGGAACCTCTGGAGTTGGGACCCAGCAATGTGTGTTTTAATAAGTTCTTTAGCTATTTGGAGCAGCAGTCATGCCTGGTTCTTTTTTTTTTTTTTTTTTTTTTCACTTTTTCAGCTGTAACCTTAACTTTTCTTGTGTTGTGATCACCAGCTTCTTGCTGTGCCACTTGACTTCCATGCTTTGCTGATCTGGGAGATGGGAGATGGGAGATGGTTGAACGGAGACTCAAACCCATTGCTCAGCGCATCTGCTCAGAGCAGAGTACAGCAGGGTGGCTGATCCCTTCCCTTCCTTGGTCCAAGTCCTACCTGATGGGAGATGCTTTCTAAGATCCCTTCCTTTCAGCCTTAGCATTCTGCAGCTCTGTAGTCCCCAAGCTGTCCAGGGCCAAGAAGGTTTTGTTTCACTGCCTTTTTCTTCCTTTGGCAGCCTCATACCAAACAAACTGTGACTCATACCGAATGTACAGTCAGCCAAAACACTGAACCATCCTCTACAGATGCTCCTGTGAAGCCACATTTGTCCATCTAGTAGGCGTGCAGTTAATTTTCTGGACCTGGGAGTTTATCTCTTAAATTTCATCTTACTAGATCCAAGTCTGACACAATCTGTTTGGGTTCTATTTCTGTCCAATTCCCATATAAACTGATGTCCTCTTCTCCCTTGGACACTGAGATCCTGGCCAAAGAATTAATGATGATGTGAGTGTCTTTATTAGTAGCCACCTCATACGTAATGAGGCTCAAAACCATGGAAGCTTTTGCAGTCCTATGGGGACAGCACTGGAAGAGTAATAGCTGTGTGCACCGGTGCCCGCCTGTAATCCTAGCAGTTTGGGAGGCTGAGGCAGGAGGATCATGAGTTCAAAGCCAGCCTCAACAACTTAGCAAGGCACTAAGCACTCAGTGAGACCCTGACTCTAAATAAAATATTAAAAAGAGGCTGGGGATATGGCTCAGTACGATTCTCTTACTTAGAGCAATGGTTCTTAAAGTGTGGTGATATGGCTGGGGATATGGCTCAGCATCCCTGGGTTCCATCCCCAGTACCAAAAAAAAGAAAGAATAGTCACAGTCCTGGCATCATTCCCATTTGAATTACTGTTGTTCTAAAGTACTCCCTCAGATGGTTTCCCTTTTTAGGCCCTTGTTCTGTAACTTCATTCCTGGTGTCTGTCACAGCACAGCCATCATGAGCATATTGTAAGTGAACTTGGAGATGGCTTCACGATCCCTGTATAAACCATCAGTTTGGAGTTTTATTTATTTATTTATTTTAAAATATTTAATTTTTAGTTGTAGTTGGACACAATACCTTTATTTTATTTATTTATTTTCATGTGGTGCTGAGGATCAAACCCAGGGCCTCGCACATGCTAGGCAAGCACTGTGTCGCTGAGCCACAACCCCAGCCCCTTGGAGTTTTATTTTTGTTTTTGATTTGTTTTGTAGGTGACATAGAGGTGAGTTTCAGCTTATTTATAGTCAGATTTAAAAGAATTCAGAAATCTAGGAAGCAAAAATTGTGCCTTTCTTTGTTTTACCTTAGCAGAAATTGTGCCTTTCTTTGTTTTACCTTCTAGAACTTGACTTTTATGCTAAAGTCTAGATTTAATCAAAAGACTCAAGTTTATCTGATTATTTTTTTAATCTACAATTTTGCTGATACAAAATTTTGCCCTAAGGAGCTGGAGATGTAGCTCAGTTGGTAGAGTGCTCACTTCACACGCACAAGGCCCTGGGTTCAATCCCCAGCACCACCAAAAAAAAAAAAAAATAGCCTTTAGAGGAACACAGTGACATAATATAATGACATAAGAGAAGTTTTAAAAGGCAAAAATCAGAACAACTTCATGGGGGCACTGCCTCATCATGGTTCTTATTCAGACCCCACCGGGCCTCCACCACATTAAAATTCTCACCTTAAGCCAAACTTCAGATTCCCCATATCTGAGCTTGTTTTCCTCCTGCAAGACACTACCAGGCCTCTTTTTTGGGGGGAGGGATAGAGCTGTTGTGCTGGTCCTTGAGCATGTTAAGCACATGCTCTACCACTGAGCTACACCCCCCCACACACCAAACCTACTTGGATGACATGATCTCCCTTACCATGATAAAC